AGAACGGAACTATTGTGAAAACAGAGAGAGGCTGAGAGGGAGTGAAAGAGGGCAATATTTGTGTACATACCATTTGGCGGTGGGTGCACTGGAGGGGGGGTTGGGGGCAAGAGGCATACATAGTCTATATGTGCAGGGGGGGGAAACACAAAATTAGTTTTTGTAGGTTGGTGTATTATGGAATGTGACAGACCATACCCTACGACTGCTACAGACCATTGTCGGGGATCTAGACTGAATCTATAGGACCCTACACAATTTCTTCTCAGTATAATGCAGTAAAAAGTGACAAACCAAAACACACAGGAAAATAAAAGTTATCACAGCAGAGTAACTGTTGCGTGCATGCCTGCATTACCAACAAAAGTCAAATCAGAGATTTACATCAGTCAAATCTAATTCTATTATTGTCTGTGGAAGAAACCTTGCACACAAGGTCCGTCCTTGGTGCTGACATGTCTGAAGCAGCATGAAGGACAACGCATATGCACAGCATTCGCACCCATGCAACCGCAGTGAGGATGCATTCCTGCATGTAAAGCAGCCTCTGCATGACTTTATTGTATGAACACATGTCCGACAGTTGGTTTGTGATGGCATCACAGCGTCAACTGCTGACATGATAGGCAGAATGGAATCACATGTACGTCTTGATCCCTTACATGTGTTCATGGCGAGGGTTGTGTGAGGCTTATGAGATGCAATCCATATATTGCTAACATGGCACATTTCTCCGACACTGACAGACCCTGTTTTCCTCCTGTTGCGTGTCATATTAGATTTGAATTGGGTTTGTTTTACTCAGGATCAAGGTATGCTTTGGCACCAGTTTCGGGTCATTGTCCACTTCATTCTCCCTGACCTTCTGTGCATCATCTCATTTCAGACAAGGGCTCGGGGATTATTCTAGCAGGCAAGTGCTGTGGAAAAAATAGATCTACCCCTACCCTACTCTGTGTGGGGGTCTCGGGGCACTGACACACTTATTACACATTGTACAGTACAGTGGTTTCATACTACAGTCCATGCAGCTTTAGGGCTGCAGTGAATAATGAGACGATTAATGTAGCAGGTCCCCGTGGGTCTAAAGACAGTGGTGGTTTGCCACACCTGTCCTGCAGGCCCCAAGGTCGTAGCAACGCTAATGAGCTCTCCAGAGAACACACGGCAATTAGCCACAGACACAAACACACATTTCTGCATATGCACACACACACACACAACAGCGCACTTTTACCCACAGGCCCATCATTTTATCCTCTGAGCTCAGCCTTCCTGACTCTGTGTATATGACAGTCCTTGTGTGATAGGTCTTCAGCAGCGGTAGCAATATAAAAGAATAAAAATATCTCCATCTACTGGTGACCAATAGAATAGCAGCATTTTTCTATCACTGACTGCGGTCATCTGAGATGGGCATGGGTGTGCTGGGCTGAATGACAATGAGTAGTTATGCAAGCAAGAATGGTGATGTCTAGAGTGGGGCAGGGTCTAAACAGAGTAAGTGTCAAAAATAAGCCAATATATTGGTTATATAGACGTAAAATGTGAATAATGATGAATTTTAAATCCTCATATAAGCTGTATAATAAAATTCTTGACATCAGATATCAGATTGGACATCTCATTTAAGTATTCAACATACTCGAGAGTGGAAAAAATGCATTCAGTAACATCTGTTTGTCTTCAAATACCTCATCTCACAGCCTTGTTCATCGAAGAGACAAAATAAAATCTAGAAACTAAAGAAGAAGTCAGCCCTTAAGGTCACGCCATTCCTTTCTGTTCACATGCTGGTCAACATTTAGAAAAGAAACATAAGTGCCAGCTGACTTAGACGATTACCAGGTTATGCCATTAGTGCTTACACAAACAATGACACGCTCCTCTCTCTCTCTCTAGATTTCTGCTCCTGCTCTCCAGCAGCAGCCAGTGGAATGCCTCTGCACTGCAGGTATTATACCAGTTAAAAAAGAAACAGGAAGTGAGCCATGTTTTTACCCTTTGTCTGCTAACAATTTGGATGTGCATGTTGTTAAGTGTGTCTGACTGTGTTTGATGATCATGTTTGTACTGTGTATCTTAATAAGCCCTTTACTTAATGAGACGCTAGTTTGATGTTTGGAGGAGAAAAGTACGAGACAGTGGGCATGCTACAGGAGCTGATTTGGGATCGGATGTGGTGCGAAGTGGGGCTGAGGACAATCAACAAAAGAGGCCGTCATAACCTTGCACAGAGCCTCCACATGCAGTTCATGAGAGTCGATTACACATTTCGATTTAACAGAAACAAAGTGACCAATCTGAACAAATCGTCTTAGTGTTGGTGATATGTTGAGTGTCTTTCTGTACCTACTGTATGGCCGGGGAGCAGGGTTATAGTGTAATATACCTATCAGTGGACAGGGGATTTTCCCTCACACTACTTGAAGTAGCATGCTACCTTTCCTAGTGAGACGTTGACATTTTATCTTCATCATAACTGCACGGGAATTACAGTTTACCAATTATAAAAAGTCCTTAAAGGTAACATCCAGTCATCATTTTTCGTGTGAATAAAAAGGCCTGAGGTTAAAATGACACCACTGATATAGGCATCAGTAATGGTTCCGGGGCAAACGTTAAATTTAGTTTGTGTTTTCAAGTAGTGGTGATAGAAAAAAATCTTTATAGGTGAGCTGCAGGGAATAGGAAAAGGCTTTTGAGGCAGAGGAGACGTAGGAACGTTCAGTAACCATCATTCTTATATTGCGGACATTAATTTTTGACTGGATAGTACCTTTAAAATCAAAAATAACAAAGCTTCTTCATCTGGAACAACAGTGAATAACATTAATCCAGTGCTATAACCCTGATGTCACTTAACTCTGCAGAGCAACGTTGCTGAGAAGTGACCACAATCTGACTGGGTTTTGTTAAAACGCCTGAAATAACATCTTTGGTTAAGACAAGCTTAACACAGCTTCATGTTTTGTTATATGAGATAAAATTGTCCTACCTGTGCTTTTTTAAAGCTTCCAGTGCAGTAGTTGCTAACAATTGGCTACATGTTCATGGTATTATCCAAGCTTTAATGGCTGACAGTTAACCCAGGTATAATATTTTATTAACTAGTATGATTTAAAGGGAGTAGTTAAAAAAATAACAGCAGCAACATAAAGACCCCCTCCTTTAATTTTAACAGAGTGTCTAATAAAAGCTTTCTACACATTCTTTGGCATCTAACCAGGTGGTCCTGCCTTGTCTTTTGGCAGCCTAATCACCAGAATAAATATTGGCATTGTGTATTTATGCAAACAACAGACATTTGCACATTTCATACAGTGTGTAGTGGATATGTTGAAACTTTACATTTCAACAATGCTGTGATTAACATGCGGTTATGTATAGGCACAAAAACAACTAGTTATGGTTGGTCAGTGGGCTGCAGTGGGCCACTGCTTGGCTGCTGTCTTGCCTGAATGTCACATCCACCATCCCCTCCTCCTCCTGATGACCAAATCAGCTCATATGCATGTGATCATAACTAACTAACATCCATATGTAACATAACCTTTGTTGGAGACATTGTTTTGAATTGTGTGAAATGTAATATCCCACCACGCCACTAGGTGGCTTATGTCACTGGCTGAGGCAGGCCATGGTATTAAAGTTCATCCCAGTAAGCACAGGTGTTGCTGATGTTAGGGCGCAAACAGTATGTATTTATTGGAAGTTTGCGTTGAAAGTTGTTGGAAGTTATGTTCAGTGGTGAGAAAATAAACCAATAATGATATACAGCATTCAAAAAGATTGGGAGTAGTTTTCTGAGAACAAGTCCAGTCAATTCAGCCGATTAGCAACTGCTAAGTATAGAGCTAGTCACTATAACCATGGTTTGCATAAATGTACAATGCCAAAAATTTTCCTTTGGCGACTGGGCCCCTTTTGTTCATCTTCATTCAAAGCACAGCAGAGTGCAACCTGATGAGTGCTGATCCGAATGCTTTAGTTTAGCACCTTTAAAGCATGATCATTCAACACATAACTAAAATTTGCAGTCAAGTTATTTTGTACGATCATTCTGATTCAGTTTCCGTTCATTTGGCTCAGCCCCACTGTAGTGATAAGCCTGAAGCTTAAATATTCACTCAGGTTTAATACAGCTTGGGTCTTACATTTATAGTTTTGGCAGTCACTTTTATTGATAATGACAAGGTTTTACTCAACAAACTAACTGCTGAGATCTGGCAACACGTCAGCATTGTTACAACGAAGTCTAATGGAGCAAGAAAAGTGGTCAGATGAAATATTTGATATATATTCAAAAGCATGTTTATAATATATTGTATTTGGCATACAAATTGAAAGTGAGTGATGTTGAAATGTTTGTAAAAATCTGTCACTGCAAAGGAAAACTGTCTTCATTTTATCTGCCACATAAGTTTGGTTGGTTTTAGGTTTGTCTAAACTGATTGCTTATGTCTCTTCCCCTGTCAGACTTCATTTTATCAGTCTTCCCAGAAAGCATAAACATGGTGAGTACAGCGCCGTAAAAGGAATCACAGTCAAAACCAAGAAAATAGTTCCCTACTTGTAATAAAATTTGGATAGATCCTGATGTGTTTCACAATTTAGCCAGGTGTTAGCTTTTCACTGATGCTAATTACTAAAATGTTTTGATCCTTTAAAACAGTGTTACCAGGCGAATATTATCTCTTAAAGCCAAGTGTAGGACCATAAACCTGTGTTAAACACAGTGCTTATTATGGACATCAGAACCACATCCAAAACCCAGTGAAGTTAAAATGGGATAGTGGCCAACAAACCAGCATGGCAGAGCTAAGTGACATCTGGGGGTGTGTGTGTGTGTGTGTGTGTGTGTGGGGGGGTGTGTGTGTGTGAGAGAGAGAGTGAGATAGTAAAGAACCTCTATTCGATTCCTTTTCTTTTGTGGGGGGGGGGGGGGGGGGGGGGGGGGGGGGGGGGGGGGGGGGGGGGGGGGGGGGGGGGGGGGGGGGGGGGGCTCCATAAAAACATCATCGCTGCACCAGCCTGTTAGCTAGACTTTTAGGGTACATGTCAGCAACACACACTCCTCCTCTCTCACACACACACACACACACACACACACACACGTTTAAAGACATGCATACAAGCACACACACACCCACACGTACTCACGCACACGGTAAATCTAGAAACACAAACCATCTCACACAAACTTGCAGCTAATTAATTTTTTTTACACATTATCTGTCTTATTTAGAGAACACATTTTCTTCCTGTATGAGAGACCCAGAAACAAACACAAAGGATGAACATTAGAAAGAGAATATGATTGTGTTATTCCATAGTCAGCCAGTGCAACAGAAACCAATAATTGGAACACAGTGTAAAAAAGCGTAGTGAGAGAAACTCAGCCATGGGGAAGCCGACCTTCCCACTCAACAAAGGCTGTGGCATTGTCCCCTTTCTATCTAAGGGACTGGTTGAGTCCCTCAGTGTGTCTGTTTGTTTACTTATTTATTTGTTTTGATTGATTTGTGTGTCTTTCGTCTCAAAGCGTCCCACATTTTCCATTTGCCAGAAAGCGCTGCAGAATGTCCACAGGCACACAGCTCCAGCCGTTCGCACAACTGTGGCTGTATTTTTCCACACTGGTTGCCATGGTGAGGGAATCCCCCACCCCAACAACCTCACCTCCTCCTGGCAGCTCTATCACTCCTCGTTGGCGGGGCTCTCCTCCAGAGGCGTGATGGCGGGGAGGCCCAGTCCTGTTGCATTGTGGGATGCAGTGAGGCTGGCAACAGTGTGTAGGAGGACGAGGACCAGCAGGCAGAGTTTGAGCCGGCTGTTACACAGTCTGCAGGCTGCCGAGGAGCTGAGGGAGGTACGGTGCTGGCATGGCGGGTGAGTTCTTTTCAGGGTCCCCCGGGAACGGTTGTCCACTTTCAAGTCCCACCGCACGTCGCAGCACTCTGCTTTCGGGTCAACACCTGATGGATGGTCCTCCAGCAGCCCTGGGGTTTGTTTTTGGGGGAAGGGGGTGGTGGTGGGAGTGGAGATTTAAACAGTTAGCACACATGTTGTCTTAACATTTACTTTATAAATCCTGTCCTTGCCTCTTGTTACAAAAAGAATATTGCAGCTAATCCAGCTTCGCCCACTAGAAAAAAAAAAGAGATAAAAGACAAAATAACATTAATACATTCCTATGACTTTGATCATGAAATTATGGTTTGAAAGCACCGTGGCCAAGAGAGCTCAGTGATCTGCAACGTTAGAAAACGCAAGCAAATGAAAAGAAAACTCACAAGTAAATATTGTTACCCAATTTACCAAGGAAAAAGTCTTTTACATGCTTAGCAGTTTTTAGTGTCCCCCAAAAAACATATTTATTTGCAACTGGAGTTGAAATGAAGGTTATGATATTGTAACCTTAGTTCTATTAGCACAAGCAGAGCTCTTTACCTAAGCACTCTGTTGCTCCTACTCCGCTTGCTACAGACAGAGTAGGATGCTAAGACTGTAAGGCTCCTCTACATCCTGTGGGCTCTGCACATATTCGCACGTGCTGATTTGCCAGCTACCTTTATTCAAATTTCAGTGGTGACTGTGATTGGAAGAGTACAACCCATAGAGTCCAGAAGAGGATGGAGGGTGTTATTCTACATTTTCTATATTGTCAGAAAAGCCTGTGGAACGACCAAATCCAATTAAATGATCCAGATAACAAGTACTGTCAGTGTAGTTTATTCTAATGAGACGCAAAGCCCCATAACTGTCCCAAAAATATTAAAAACACACCAATGAGCTGCACTTTTACACTGGGAGATAAGTTTCTTCATTACAATGAACATGACAGGCTGTAGCCTATTTTGACTCAACCCCATATACATCACCCTAAATACTCACTAGTGCAGTGGATCTGTATTAATCTTAAAATTACCAGACCATTGTACCATTTTCTCCTGTCTGAGGAACATTTGACGAAACCTACAGTGCTCAGCTGTTTCAGATCTTCAAGACAAATTTGATCTATCTCAATTTATCTCCATTTATTCTGGCCATGTCAAACAAACATGCTCACATTTCAGCCTAGCATGGAGGAAAATGGAAGTCATGTCATTTTTATTGCAGGAGTTGAGAGGTGATTTGCATGAATACATGGTAATTATCATCATAGGGTCCCATATACATACACACATAGACAATATGATAATGACTGTAAGCAAATATATATGTGTGTGTGACCCATTTTTAAATATTTCTTCCAATGAGATGAAGGGGCTTGGAGTTGAGAGCTACAGACAGGCTGGGGGCATCAGCAACTATTAAAAACAGACTAACATAGTTGGTCTTTTGTTGATGATTGTAAAAATGTGACAGAATATTGCCAGTCTTATCCTTCAGTTTCAAAGAGTGAGAAAAGCAGCCTTGTTTTGTATTCTTAATGAATACATACATTTGTTGATTAATAGAAAAACTTAACTAATTATGACAAACACTTTGAATTTCTTCTTTTATACTGTACATGAATGTAACCTGATGCTCAATATGACCACTAGAGGGCGGCATCAACACATGATGTGAGTGTGTGTCTTTGTATTAATCAAGTTCTGGGGACAAAAGTCTGGTCACACAGAAAAACTGTGCTCCCACTTATTTACCTTCCATGTACATTGACAAAAAAAGGTCATCATGTGTGAATAAGCACCACATTCACTAACACTGATCAACAGAGTGCAGTACAGGCAGAACATAAAGATAGTGCTCCACTGTACAGCTGTCTCCTGGTGCTGTGAATGAATTGCTAACAATTTGTTGTAATGGTGTATCCCCTTGTTAGTCAGGTCAAACAGAACATCCTGTAACTGTAAAGTCACAAGTGTTCACTGTGAGACCATCAAAGGGTTGTGTTCTGCTGAAGTATCATTGAGCAGGACCCTACGTTCAAATGTGTTAACAATGTGTTTGCTCATTGTACAATCCCAGTACACTGTTTGGCCCTTTCAAGTCTAAGGGAGGAGTGTCCTGATTCTTGTTGGGATAGAGGTGTAGGGCAAAGTGTTAGGGCTACATGGCCCTCAATACTTAGGTTTTTCAGAGGCACATTTCAAACCGAGTGTTATGAGAAATCATCAGAAAGATGGCTGTACAAAGAACAAAAGAAACTCCTAATTGTATTTTCTACGTTAAAAAACATTTAAAATTACGATACTCCGACTTCTGTGCGAGTCATGGATTGGCCATAACAAACACCATATTCAAGTACAGGGAGATTCATAAGTGTACCTGGTACCAGAACACTCTAGGCCAAAGATCAATGATTGACTTTGTGGTTGTATCATCAGATCTGTGGCTGTATGTCTTGGACACTCGGGTGAAGAGTGGAGCAGAGCTGTCAACTGATCCCCACTTGGTGGTGAGTTGGATCAGATGCTGGGGAGGCTGGCAAACCCAAGTGTGTATTGAGGGTGAACTGGGAACTATGGAGAAGGACTTTTGGTTGGCATGAAGCAAGTTCTAGCAAACCATTAGACACCTCAGGAAGTGAAAGCAGGGCTCATCTCAGGCTGTGCTCAGCAGGGGAGGAAAACTGCCTGCCTGGACTGGGGATATTGTTGAGTCTAAAGACTTGAGAAAACTCTCGTCCACATCCCTGGCAGAGGTCACTGAGGTAGTCAAAAAGCTTCCCAGTGCCAAGGTGCCGGGTGTGAATGAGATTTGCCCTGAGATGCTGAAGGCTCTTGACATTGTTGGGCTGTCTTTGCTGACACGCCTCTTTAGAGTCGTGTAGAGGTCAGGTACAGTGCCTGTGGAGTGGCAGATCAGGATGGTGGTTCCCACTTTAAAAAACTAGGGGACCAGAAGGTGAGCTCCAATTATCGGGGTGTCACACTGCTCAGGGTCCTGGGGAAAGTTTACTCCAGGGTGCTGGAAAGGAGGCTCTGACCTCAGATTCAAGAGGAGCAATGCCAATTCTGCCCTGACCATGAAACAGTGGACCAGCTCTTTACTCTTGCAGGGTTGTGGGAGTTTGCCCATCCAGTCTACACGTGCTTCGTGGACTTGGAGACAGAAGCTGCAGGATTATGGGGTACCTGTGTCATTGATATAAGCCATCCTGTCCCTGTATGACCAAAGTGAGTTGCCTATTTCTCACTTTAAATGTTGTCAGAAACATGTTTTAGCTCACTGCTGATGTCCATGCTCTTTAAGTTATGAGCAATGGACTAGCATCCATGCTTTCCGATATCTATCAGATAAATTACAGGCAAATGTCACTGTGATAATACCATTATTGCAATCATCATGTCTATTTATGTAAATACCATTCATGACGATGCTGATGATGTTTCAGGGTCTTGAAGTGTTATCCCATTTTATAGTTGAAGATTTCCACCCCTTGAAACTCTGTTCAAAGGGGCACTCAAAACTAGGGGTAGGGGTAAAAAGAAATGGGATGGGGCCTAAGTTTCACAGGTGAAGAGCATGATCTATAGTACATAGGGTGGGCAGAAGCAGTAGAGGTTCGAGATGCTTGTTGCTGTGGCTTCGAATCCTCGGATTTAAGGAAGTAATGCTCCTTTATCCCTCACATAGTCAACAAAGCACTTCGCTCCAAGTGCTCAGTTGAGTTGCTGAGCACTGAAGTGAGACTGGGCAGCTGCATGTGATACTAATCTTTAAAATAAGGTTAAAAGAAAACACGCACAGGAGCTTTATACAAACAGATTAATGCAAACACTGTAAGATATTTTTTGTACCTGTGCATATAAAACTGGGGCTGCCTCCATGAATGAGATCATCATTGTCGGGCAGGACGAAGGGGCACCGCTGCTGCACCTCCAGGCAGTACTGACCACAGGGGATTCGCTTACTGCAGTGCATCTGGGTGGTCTGGAAGTACTGAGAACACAGCCAGGGCTTATAAACCATCTAGGTGGGAGACAGAGAGGTGAGGGCAGGGGGGAGAGAAAGACAGGCGGAGGGGGCGCAGAGAGAGAGGATATTGATGAGTTAGGGAGGATTGCTTCGGATGATATGCAGTCACACACATGCACACTCTCACATGTATGTGCATCATCCATGACCTCTACAGCTATTGATTCACAAAGAACTGAGCAGATATCCTGGTGATCCTGATAGCCACTGTTTAATGAATGTGGCTGTTGCTGGGCAGCCGGTCAATATACAGTATTACACAACTTCCTCTTTAGAACAACTGTATCAGTGTGTGCTGCAGCTGCATTTCACAGTTTTCAGAGGCATAATTCAGATTTGTATTATCCAGTGATGCTCAAAATACACAGAGAATCCTCTTCTATTATGTACACCCTAAGTAAACTGTGAGTCAGTAAAAGCTAGTAGCTTGTAATTGTTCCTTCAGAAATCAAAACACCAAATTGGTTGATCCATCACTACAACATTTACAGCTCTTTTCATACAATCTCTTTATATCAAATATGATAAATTCTAAGCTGATGCTGTTAGGTTGGTTTACACCAGCAATGCTTGTAAATACAGCAGGAGAATTGTCTTATTTTTTGAATCATCATCAGTTCACTAACATTTCATAGCAAAAACACAGGTGTGTTAAAGGGACAGTTCACCCCCAAATCAAAAGTGCATATCTTTTTCTTATCTGTAGTGCTATTTAGCAATTTGGATTATTTTGGTGTGAGTTGCTGAGTGTCTGCCTTCTCTCAAATATAATGGAACTAGATGGCACTCAGCTTGTGGTCCTCAAAGCGCCAAAAATACATTTGTAAAACTCAACAGCCATGTCTCTTTCCAGAAACAGAAATACATAGATAATGATTGTTGTGAGCAGTTTCATCCAGGAACTATTTTCTTTCCACCGAACTACTAATGCCAAACGCGTCACCATGCAGAAGGAAGAGTGCATCTACTCATGGATGAGAGGCTCGTGGTTGTGAAGAAACATTAATTAATGATGCCCTTCTTAGCTGAGTTGTAACTTGAGCTAACAGTAGATGCACACTTCCTTTTGTGTGGCAACACCGTTGGCAAGTGTACTTCAGTAGAGAGAAAATAGTTCCTTTAAGAAACTGCTCCCAACAAGGTTTGTAGATTAACCTGAGTAACTGGGTCAAGATTTCTGGAAAGAGACATTAATGTAGAGTTTTTCAATTTTTGTAATGTAATTTTTTGGCCCTCTGAGCATCACAAGCTGAGTGCAACTAAATTCCATTACACTAAAGAGAAGAAAGTCTCTACATCCGATATCTTCAACACTCAGCAACTCACACCAAAACAATTGGTAAGAGGAAAAATATGTATTTTTGAAAACAAACTGAACTGTAAATTAAACTGTAAATGTGAGATTATCTTAAATGTGCAGTATATGTTAAAAAAAAAAGGTTCATATTACATAATGTTGATGTTTGTGTTCAGTAATTTCCTAATTCTTTTCTCACTTATTTTCTCAGCTCTACCAGTGCACAAGTGGGGACAAATGATTTACTTAGCACCTTATTTTTTTCCTTCCTCATGCAATAAACTTGTCACCTCATTGTGAGGTATTATCACCTGCAGCAATTTACTGGTATTTCCTGTGAAACACTCCAGGGATCACGAGGCAAACTAGCACCTGCTTGGAGCTAATCATCGCACCTAAAAACAGTGCACCAAACCATGTCACTCCCCCATAGATACTTACAGTACATGTTACTGTTGTGGTGGTGTCCACGTGTGTGTGTGTGTGTGTGTGTGTGTGTGTGTGTGTGTGAGTGTGAGTGCCAGAAAGAGGAGAGAGCAAGATCAAATGTGTATGTTGAAATACAGTATTTATGTAATAGTAATGCAGAGATTCTTTTGGATGACACATAAATACCAATAAATAAATAATCCCTGAACATAGCAAAGGAAAAATACACACAAGCACACAAAACAGAATGATTATTGATAAAAACTATTCGTCGAACTGTAGATGTAAATGGTTGCAATCCAGCCAAGATGTAGCCTAAGTAATGTAAAGCAGAGGAGAGGAGAAGAAAAGAAAAGAAAATGATGGTTAAATAATATTCCTGAAGAGCAGACATTGCAGGCTATGTCTGGGATAATAGAGCTAATGATAATTAGCATTAACATCATAGCATAACGTAATTAATGGGCTTATTATTTAAACATTTTTGCATAATGGAGGCACTAACATTTCCTTTTGCATTACTATTTAAGGCATAGTTACAGCCTCATCACTCATTCTGTTGTCTTTTCCAGGGTTGCAGCAGTATACTGTGAACCCATATGAAAATTGACGGTTACCATACTGTGTACATTTGCTTGTCTTGCTTGGTAGTAAATGACAGCCTGTCAGACTTTTCACACATACTTCCATTTTAAAAAAAAGTTTCAGGTTTCAGTGTTTGTTCAACCAACAAAAATCCTTATGTTTTTGTTGCTTTAAGCGTCATTGTAACTGATTATAATACCTTATATGTCATATATTGTCATGATCATGGGTTTGTTTATAGTCTGTCATTCTATGGACTTTGTTTTCTAGTTTTCTGTTTGTGTCCCTTGTTTCATGTTATTCATTCACGTTTAATCTGCTTCCTGTTTTATTTTGTAGATTATTTCCTCGTGTGTTGTGTCTGGTTTTACTTCCTGTCTTTGTGTGTTTTCTGCTGTCACACCTGTCTCGTTAGTTCTTCCCTGTTCCCAGAGTCTTCCCTTCACACCTGTTGTGTATTAGTATTGTTTGCTCCACCCTAGTGTTCCCCTCCACACCCTTGTTGTTAGCCAATCTCCATTTCCCTGTATGTCAATTTCCCTGAGCTGTGTCTCGTTCTTGTGATTAGTTTTCTGTGTATATATACCTGTGTGTTTCCCTTTATTCTTTGTCAGCTCGTCTATGTTCATCTCTGTGTATTCCTGAGCTCGTCCCTGTGTTCTTGATGTCGTCCATGCTCCGTATCCCATGTGATTTTCAATTTATTTTTTGTTCTGCTTTCATTTGGACTTTGTTACCTGCTGTATCTGGATGTTTTTTATTGGCTGTATTAAAGCTCACTTTTTGTCACCTCAACCAGCCTGTTAGTCTGCATCTGGGTCCTCCTTGAACTGTTAAGCGGCAATATATATTGTAATACATATAATAATAGTAATAACAGTGTAAGACTGCTCTGTAATACAGCATTAGTGTATGCTTGTGTGTCATTTTACAAATTAGTCCTCATATAAATGGGGAAAAGAGAAGGCAATATGTGATTCAAATGAGGGGAAAAAATGCAATGCATCAGAAAACTATTCTTAGAAAATGTCTGCCTTTGATTCATGTTAGTAAATTATTCAGAACTTGAGTGGGGGCATATTACTGTAAGTCAAAATGTTGCTGGAATAATAAAGAGAAGTTTAACAATTGCCTTTATTGTGACAAGTACCTATTGTCTGGTACTCACATATCCTTTGTGCTTGTAATGGCCACACTGAGATGTCATTTTGTAGCATCTGAAATTTATCATAGTATTATATCATTATGCAAATATCACTTCAACATAACATGACTGCTCGGTTGAGTCATCTGTCATGCCTGTTGTAGACTGACAGGCATATACGATATGCATGACTGAACATGTGCACAAATGGACATTCTGCACACATGCACAGATGCTGTGCAGTAAATTGCTGTGCGCTAATAATTGGATTTGCAGTAGAAGATAAGGTTGCTTCCTGAGGACACCGCACACACACACACACACACACACACACACACACACGCAGGCACGTACACTGCCCTTCTCTCTAATCTATCACTGTGTGAATGTCACAAATGAAAATGGCCTAATGTCACATCGTGTACATACAGCATCAGATGATTATTTCTAAATTATTAACATGCTGTGCATCTGTGTATGTGAGAATAGAAGCGTCCATGTATGTGTGAGTCTTTTGCATTTCGCTTGTGCAACACATTTTCCACCTCATGTCCTCCTGTTCCCTGTGTATGGACTACTTCTCCTAATGTAGCTGTCAGCACGAGGAGATAAAGACAAACTGAGTGAAATTCAGCAACGCATCACGTTAGACTAACAATGTCACAGGCAGTGAGTGTCAAGTGGTGTCTGTTTTGGTATTTATCAGACATTTCCCATACTCAGCAGAACGTCAGACAACAATGTTAAAGTCAAGGTCTGTCTGGTTGCACCGAGGCTCGGACATAAATCAAAAAATGAAAAGCTGAATAATCAATAACATCACAACTAAAGAGATTATCATTAAACAACGCTTCAAGCAGCCCCTTAGCTCTCACTTGAGTATGGCAACCATTTCCTAGCAGAATTGAGGTCAGTGGTCATTAGTGGAACTTTCTATAGGCAACATAGGCCCCCAATTATTTTTTTTTTACATTTTTTTTTAAGTTACACTTTACATCTATACCTGTCCAGACCCATATGTAGCCATGACAGTTGACAATACTTCAAATACGGATGTTGCTGCAAAGAAGCTAGATATTCTAAAACATGGTTGCTTCACACACATCTTCCGCCCGGCAGCACACCAAAGTGGTCGAAATCCGGCGCTTGGGCAGTGACTTACAGCGTCAGACACCGACGAAAAAGCTGTCCGCTAACTTCAGCATGATACGCTGCGTCAGGGAGAAACATGGCAAGACAAGGACGAAAGTTAATGTCCGAGTGGGGAAGGTGGGAGGATTATGGATGGGTCTACCAAATGCTGACTTTCACCCAAGAGAGCGGTGTTTGTGTCCCGTATGATTCTCAAGATTCTCTCTAAACCTAACCATATGCTTTTGTTGCCTAAACCCAACCATGTGTGTTTGCTGTTGAAGGAAAAAAACTCAATTCGCGGAGTTGTACCGACATAGTGCGTTTATTTTGAAAGTGTTAAAACGTTAAACTTTCTGTGAAAATGTAAGTGTATCTTAATAGAAGAAAATGCATGTAGCAGTCAGA